CAGGCAATGATTCTGTATCTCTGGCCATGCTGGCTGGGACTAAAAGAATCTGTAGGTTTTCTATACTGTTTTATACTTAAGATCTTTGTAATGAAGCATTGTAAAGCACTATATGTGAAATCAAGACAAATAATAATCAGCCTTAATACTTCCAGGCACTTCATCTTTAATAACTAACTATATGATGGCCAGTGTTCACCCAAAATATTTCCAACTAAAAAAATTAAACCTCAAGATAGACTTAACCAACCAGTAATTTCTATGCAATAAAGAATAAGCAGCAGGAACATCACAAACAGTAATCAATATTTATGAAGGTAATTTAAACCCAACATAATGTTACTGTATTACAGGCAGTCCCTGGGTTATGAACAAGTTCTGTTCCTCAGAAAATGGAAATTTGTTATTAATATGTAAGTCAGACCACATATAGTCAGCCCTCCACATCTGTGGGGGTTTGGGGTGCAGGACCCCTGTGATAATGGACAAAAAACCACAAATATCTCTAGCCCTGCGCCTCTGCTGAAACTCACCAGTGCCTCAAGAAAATACAAGAAAGATTTCTCTCTCCAGATGGGTGGGGCAGGAAGACATGCTTTGGAGACCTTCCTTCTCTCCCCTTTCATTTCCTCTCTCTCTATGGTGATAATGTTCTGTAGTAATTTTTAAAAATTATTTTATGGCAGTTCAAACATAACTGTGGGTTGTTCATAACTTAGGCTTTTGTAACTCAAGGACTGCTTGTACTCAATGCACAGTAGCTGTTTATGTTAGCAGGTTTAGCAAGAGCTTGTTAAAATATAAATAGCACTCGTGGCAACTACATACCTCATGATACATGTAACAGTTTGTATATTTGCTTTGTATAAATAAATGTCAAACTTTCACTCAGTATCAATAAAATGTGGTACCTGTAGAAAAGAATGACTTAATGACCAATAGATGGCAGTGATGGTATAAAATCGATATCAAGTCAAATAGAATGGAGTGCTGTATATTAAATCAATGATCAGAATCTAGACGAAATTCCTGGTATAGTTTTGATAATTTTATAATTGGATTGATGGGGATGTACCCACACATACAAGATAAGGTGCTCACAGTTTTTCAGCAGTGACTTGAATGCCTCCTTGAAATCAGAAATTCAAGTCAAGCTTACCTGGGATAGTCAATGCCAAAGAACCGAACTCATGTTTACCTACCATTTTGCCCTGTCTGAACATCTGGCCCACAGAGAACATCCTCTGAAAATCTGGTGTTGAGCATTCAGTCTGATGCTTTCTCTTGCTTATGCCTGCTCAGGCTATTTTGTGGCAAGCTGGGATGCCTTTTTGTAACTAAGGCAGTATCTTATGCCAGGCAAGTAAGCCTATACAAATTCAGTTTGTACTTGATAGACCATGTTTCCTTGTACTGAAAATACTGTCCAAGAGAAACCACCCCCCCACCATAGTATAAGGGTGCTTAAAATAACAAATTAGTATCCCTAAAAATATAGATGAAATGTGAGATAGATTATATGGTACTATCAAGAACCTGGTCTCCTCCTCTTTTCAAATAACAGTTCTTCGGCAAAAGCTCTTTATTTCCAGTGAATATACAGCAAACTCCAGTCAGCAAAGAAAGAGTCTCCGAGCATGCACAGATCAGTTTATTGAATGCAAACTAAAAACTATTTCCAAACCTCCCTCCTTTTGAGTAAACCTGGACTCTGCACCTCTGGAGATGGGCAAGCCTCTTACTGGTATGCAGGCCCTCCTGTTGGCTAGCCCTTCTCTCCCAACACCATGCCATGGGTCAAGGATCAGACCAGGTTCCTCTGGCTCCAATTCCATGTCCCCTTCCCACACAGACCCTGTCAGTTCCCAGAGTGTGTCTGAACACGTGGAGACAGTAGCTTTGAAATAAGCTCTTCCACCTCCATGTTCTTTATGTCTGCAGGCCCCCTTTCCCAGGCTTCACTGTCTTCATATGAAGAATCAGTCACCTTAGTCCTGAAATTTGTGCTAAGAACAACTGCCTCTTTCATTCTGAACAGGTACATGCAAGAAAATCTCAGGATTAAGTTGCATCTTCCATCCCAGTGGACAAATGTTTAAATTCTAACATCTCTTGCCAACCTGTATGATGAAGCAAAGACTAGAAAGTAGCATTAAAAAATGTGCTTCATTGCATGCCTTTTATCTTGTGGGCTAGCACACCCCACGAGTAAAAAGAACCTTCTAGATTGAAAAGGTGACATGACCAGGACCTCAAGATTTTAACAATTAGAGATTGCTGCAGCTCAGTACCAAATCCATCATCTTTCTCAAACTAGAATCTAAAAGGGGTACTAGGAAAAACTAAACCCACTCACTCTGTTGAGGATGGGCTTTGACAGGAAAATCCTCAAAAGGTTGTACTAATCAACTTTACAATTGTTTTCCAACTTGAGAGTGGAGCAAAGCAATTCTAGGATGGCTGGGCCCTAGAGGCCAATATCCAGTTCTTTGTATGTGATGCTAGGTACAACTGACATTAACTGAAGAGTCACAAGAGAAGAATATCAGAGTCAATATCTACTGCATTTTTTCAGAGAATGGAATTGGGTCAAAAAATGTCTATACAGGACGAATGTTTTGTCTGGCAATGTTAAATTAATGTCAGTAAATATTAGAACCAAGTGAATAATTTGTGGCATAAAAGGTATCATATAAATTACTTTTTCTTCTTGGAATATCTATGAACTAATTGCTTTCCATTTCATTCTCTGAGATCCCCCAAGAAACTATTTGCCAATTTTATTCCTTTAAGTCTTTTGAAATGTGAAATACCTTGCTCATTTGTGATTGTTCTTGTAAATCACATATGGTTTTATTTCTGACTGAGTGAACACAGGCCTTATAAACTGCATGCGGATGGAAATAAATGGAGGAGAAAAATGTCTACGTATGCCCATATGTTAACATGCATGCTTACAACTGGTTTTTATGAACTTTCATGCTTATTCACACAAATGTTTGCCAACAGCTCAGGAGAATGAATGCACCTAAAACTACTTCAATTCCAGTCAGCTGTCAACTGGCTCAATCCGAGCATTGCTATTATTTCCCCAGATAAAGGTGGGGAAATAATATGCCAGTCAAAAATGTTGGTTCCTAGGTACATTTATTCAATAAAGATAGAAATAAATCCACAACATTTGTCTTTACCTTCCCCTTCTTTTCTACAGGTTTGTGGAATCACTTCCCAGTGTAATTAGGGAGTGAAGGCTAGAAAATTCAGTACTAAGTATTTCTGAGGGCCTAGGACATGGGTCCTCAAACTATGGCCCATGGGCTGGATCCGGCCCGCCATGCCCATGCTTGTGCATGGTGAGGTGCCAACTTGCTCACAAGGAGATCATTTTGGACTCGCTCAAAGAAAAGGATCTCCTTGTGAGCAAGCTGGCCCCGAGGTGCCGGCTTGCTTGCAAGATCGTTTTGAACTTGTTGGGAGAAAATTATCTCTGCGCACGTATGCATGCACCCCACCCGGCCCAGCCCGTGCCCCCGCCCATCCCTTGCACCTTTCAACTGGCTCCCTATTCAAAACGTTTGAGGACCCCTGGCCTAGGAGATACAAAGTTAAAACTCTGTTTTACAGAGACATGTGTTAATGCATGATATATGACACTGAAATACAGCACCAGTTGCATCACTAAAAACTGTCTGGACTGGTACCAAAATTCCTTCAAAACAAAAGAAAACAAAATACTTTCCCTCCCCATGCAAATATTATATTACATTATGATTTATTGTATTTTTTTAGTTTTAGTCTAATTTTGTGACCAGCACAAAGGTGACTGTGTGCAAAAGAAATGCACTAAACACATAAATAAATAGCAGCTTTGGGGGAATGAATTTTCATTGAGAGAAAATTATTAAGCCCGTTCCCTGTGGTCCCAAGCTTGTTTCTGGGCTGTCTGTGGCTGCCTCCAAAGGGAGGGAGGGAGGGAGGGGAAGGGATTAAATACAATTACACACTTATTACAGGCTTGGTGAACCTCTTTCAGCCAGAAAACCTAATTCAATTTTGGAAGAAGGGTTTAGGAGCCAGATTCCAGTGCTAAGTGAGGCCAAATGCAAAAGGGAGCTAGATCAGAGGTTAAAAAAAAGGTAAAAACCAAAAAATACCATTTTATGTCTTACTGTCCTAACTATGCCTTAGAATAGCCATTTAGAATGAGGGGGGATTTGCACCAAATCCAAGAAATGATCAAAAATTGGACTGCTGGGAAAAGAAGAAGGGCCAGTAAAAGAAAGCAGGGCCCAGACTGGGGCCACTGTGGCTGCAGCTGAAGCCAAAATTGTCTCATGGATCTGAGATTCAGTATTTCCAATTTAATGTAACATATACTTGGGATTCCCATTATAACATAATGAGATTCCATAAGCAAAGAGCCAGAGTGGTTTAGTGGTTAAAGTGCTGGACTGGGACTCAGAAAATCTGGGTTCAAATCCTCACCTGGCCATAAAGCTCAATAGGAAACTTTGGAATGGTCACTAACTCTTAGGCTAACCTACCCCACAGAGGAGTTGTGCTAAGGATAAAGTGAAGAAGAGGTAGTCTTTGGAAGATGCCTTGTGTTTCCTGCAAAAAGCAAAAAGGTGTAGTAGTAAAATAACAATAACACTAACATTAATAGATAATGTAAAGGTAACAAATAAATACATATTGTATATGGGGTTTGATCCTGTTCACTGGAGAAGAGGGATTCTTCAATAGCTAGGAGCATTCTAAAAAGTTTCATTTTACCCCAAAATTTATTTTTTCATCTAATTTTACAAAAGACTCCACAGGCATAAGGCTACATATTAGTTACTTTTAACAGTGACTGATTCATTGAACAGCATAGAGGCAGAATGTAAAGAGCAATGAAAGTAACCAAGTCATGTGCCCTAACACCTAGAAACTGAATGGAAGTAAAATATATATCTTGATTAAAGTGTCCAAGAATCCTTTATTCATTCAGAGCCTACCTTGCATTGCCAAGATGAGCTGTTGTCAGATTAACTAGAGCTGTAGCAGCAGCTTCTTTTACCTCTTCATTTTCGCTGCTTAGCAACTGAACTAGCTGGGGAATTCCTTTGAAGGAAAAAAATGTATATATGCAGTTTCAAATTAGCCATGGCAAAATTGCAGATGGATAAATGTTTCTTTTCTGGCTCATAATTCCATGTCCACCGTAACTGATTTACCTAATGCTCCAATAGCTTGCTTGCTGGCTAAATTTTCACACATAGCAGAGATTGCTTGAGAAGCGGCTATTTTGGTTCCATCATTATCTGTTCCCAAAAGGGTGACAAGACATTTTTCAACTTCTTGTTCATTCAAGATTTTTCTGTTTTCGGCTGTATATAAAGAACGATAAGAAATATAACGACTCAGCAACATGAATTACTCTTCTTCTGACTCTTTTTTCCTATGTTTTCTATGTGTTCTAATTATTTGTTAACTAATGTTCAGTTTAATTATGATGGCAAATGGGTAGAAAAAGTAGCAAAATATTTATTTCTATACAGATGATGTTGCTAATAAATGTTTACTTTTGTTTAGTGACACATTGAAACACAATGTACTAATACACATTCATAACACATTGGCCTTATATTGCAGCCAAATCCTGATTCATCCCTACTGAAGTTTGCAGAAATATGAGAATCTTTAAAGCAAGACAAAAGAATCCGATCCAATTACCAGCTACAAATATGTAAGCTAATGACACTAGAGATTATGTACACTTAAAAAAATGAATTTATGCAGAGTCAGGAGCACGCATGCCTTTCCCCACACCAGATCCATCCTCACTAGAGTATGCCATCCCCACAATTAATGCTAATAGGAGCCATGTACATGAAAATTAAAAGGTCACTTTTTCAGTAGAAATGCTGCGTATCTGACAGTTGCCATACAAATGAAATCAGTGCATGGGCTGACTATAAAGGAAGGCTAGTTAAAATGTTTGAAGCCTCTTTCATAGATTCTTCCACTGTCCATGTTGGACCAGAGCGAAAGAAAAAGGAAATAATGAGCGCCAGGTTGTGGGCAGAATGCTAGGTCCAGGACACAGGCTCAAGGGGGAGTCCAGGACTTTGCCAAAGGCCCAGAGGCTAGAAGCAGAATCAGCAGTCCAGGGTTGGAAGCACAGAAGGGAGCAGTCTGATTTAGCACAGAGAGAGCACAAGTCAGAAACAGGCCCAAGGTTGCTTTACGGGGCAAGTAGCTACAGCAATGGCAAGGGAATGAACAGCAGGAGCAGGGTGGAGAAAGGCAGGGTATACTCAGAGCAAGGCACATGCAAGGCACGGGAAGGCAGCTTGTATTGCAGTGGCAAGGAGCAGCCATGTGAAGGTGTCTTTTATGTTAAGTCTCCAGGACCTTCAATTGCAGCACAGACCTTCCCAACTGTTCCCTGGAAGCACCTGAAGAGGAATACCTGGCTCTGCAGAGCCTAGCAAGACCAGTCAGGCCCTTGTCCTGACCACCTCCTCCCCTGCCTCAGGAAAGGAGATTCCACACTCCTTTATAGTCCAGGCTTTTCTGAGTTTGGCTGGTGGAAGGTGCACATCTTTGCTGGTGTATGCATGTCCTTAACTAGTTCCGAGGATCATTCCTCCGGAACATAGCCCTCTGAGTCCACCAGATAGCACAGTCAGCCATGAGTCCTCTGAAAGTCCAGAATTTGGGCCACATGGTACTCCTTATATTCACCTATTTTTACAGGTGGAGAAGATGGAAGAGTGCATCCTGTAAAGGGATTGGGCTGGTGGATCTTCAGCTGGGAGATGTAGAAGACCTGGTGGAGTTTGAAGATATAGGAAAAATCCAATCTAAAAGTCACGAGGTTTGCCTGTTGAACAACAGGATAGGGTCCTTGGTATCAGCAGTCCAGTTTGGCAGAGGAAAGGTGGGACTGGTGGTGTTCCATAGAAAGCCAGACCTTGTTCCCCACTTTGAAGAGATGTTTCTGGCCCTGTAGTCCCCTGCCATCAAAAAACACTGCTGAGGCCCAAAAAACTTCCTTGCAATGCAAGGAATCAAAGTTGAGGAACCGCTGGCTCAACATAATCATGAGGTTGTCTTTAATGAGATGTCTAGGATGATGGGGTAGTATGGGGTCATGATCAGGTCATAGGACATCAGCTCCTGATGCCCTGGGATGGACAGCACAACCAGGAGACAGGTCTGATGGCTGACAGGGATGAATATCAACTGGGACCCATTGAGGCCCTCCATGATAACTGGGATGGTCTTTGCTTGCTAGAGGATGAGTTGATCCCTGGCAAAGTCCCAGTAAATGAAATTGGAGGAGGCCCCAGAATTTATCATGGCTACCATCTGAAGGAAGGCCCTCCCTTTGTTGCAGCCCTCTGAGCCTCCCACAGGGTTGGCACACAGAGGAAAGTTCCAGAGGTTGAGTGTATTATCTGAGCAGATTATGGTTGGGAGAGGTGCTCCAACAGGTAATGCAGTCCCAAACTTTAGAGGTTAAAATCAGCACCTTGAATTTGGCCTAGAAGCATACAGGCAGCTAATGTAGATGGACCAGAACTGGTCTTACGTTTGGACCTATCAACAAAATAAACACATCTCCTCATAGCAAGGAATGCTGTGACCAGGTGACCAGTGCAGTGTACCTGCTCATTCTACTGTCCAGGGGCTCACTGTAGATTAACAACTGCTGCTCCCTCTTCTTAAGGTTTCTTACCTTAACAGTAGCCTTAGATTGTATAGTTTCTCAACAGGGCTACTGGTCCTTACTTATTATAAGCAACTAAGAATAAGAGGTAGATAAAACAAACCTGTATATCACTGCAGACAATATGATTTTTATTATTTTTTTGTCTAGCAAGTTCATTCATGCTGGTTTGTGGCAAAATAGTGAAGGAAAACTTTTACTCTGAAACTACAATGATTTCATTTATAAAGAAATTTAACAGGAAGATACATCATAGGCAGTGACAGTTATATCTAGCAATACAGGGTCACAAGTAATAGAATCATAACTCCAGTTGTCCTTGTCAGAAATCTGTTATAGCCCCTAGTACTGCTTGTATTTAACAATGCCTGTGGGATGCAGCAAAGGAAAAGAAAATGGAAGAAGAAAAACAATTGTGGATTTTTTTCCAAGCAAATTTGAAAGCAGGGCCAAAATTACATTTTAAAAATAGAGTCAAATGAAAAGACAGACAACTGTTCATCATCAGTAGTAGTACTCCATCTTCCTGCTAGTCTGCTCTCAAGTAGCTTATAAAAAGCAAATGATTAGCAGGGGTGGACAATTTGTGGTCCCCCAGATCTTTTGTGTATAATTTACATCAGTCCCTAGTCAGCATAGCCAATGATAAGAGATCATGGGAGTTATACGCTGACACATCCAGAAGACTGAAAATTACCCACCTGAATTAAAAGTTTAAATTTCATGAAATTAACTTCATACCACTTTGTACGTGGTACAGTGCAATCCCAAGCATATTTACAATAGTTTTCATTGAGTTCAATGGAGTTCACTCCCAAGCAAGTGTGAACAGGGCTGCAATCTTACTTCTAATCAAATTAGAAATGCTTAGAATTGGCCTAATTTATAAAATACAATAAAAATAAGGATATGCCTGTGAGATAAAGTGAAGCAAAAGTTCTACCATTATACAAACTTATCAGCACAGTTATTTCAGGCAGTCAGCACCAACTGAAAGCTTGGTACAATAAAGTTTTCAGTCACCTTCCAGCAGGAAATAAGGGGCTAGATCAGGCTAGAATCATCCAGAAAGTGCTCCCTAAGATTTAGGGAAACTAGCAGAATAACAGCAGAAGTCCTAGCCTTCCAATTTGGTTTTAGCCAAGTACAGATAAAAAGGAGACAGCTTGAAGCAGAACATTATACAGGTTAAACCAGCCTTCCTCAACCTGGTGCCATCCAGATGTCCTTGACTACAATGTATTGGGTTATACAGTAACTAGTCCTAAGAATGGTCTTTAAAAAGGCATTTGAATTAGCTTTTTTCTTGATTATGGTAAAAACAAGGGACTTGTTCTGTGGGTGCTGATAATCAGAGTTGGGTGGCTCTGCCACACATTATGCAATTAACAAAGGTTAAGAAGTTGATAACAGCAAAAAACAGGTACTGGTACACTGATGTCAGTTTCAGTTTCAGTTTCATTTTTCTGTAGTTTCATTAACTCCTATAAATGAATCTAAAACTTGCCAATGGAGGGATGCTGAGTTAAAATATATTATGAGAAAGCTAAGATATAACAAAGAATAAGAAGCTTTTTTGCATTTGAAACTGTGTACAACAAAGATAGATAAATTAAAATAATAAGCTAGGGATGCTACAAATAACTAATAACCCAAGGATAGTAGAAATTTCTGTCACAGCTTATGTCTTCTGAATCTCTTGAGAGACTCAAAAGCCTATTATGGACAATAAGAAGTACATTATTCTTTATATTATTACATTTTGTTATATGGCACTGCTGTTGCAGCTTGACAAATCACACTAGAGATACAATTGAGGCATATTTAAACAGAACTGTCATGCTGAGTGTAAGCTAAGGGCATCAGAACTACTTCCTACAGAATCCATGCGAATTCAAAAGCAGTGAGTTGTTCATATAAGCAAAGTATTACAGAATGAATAATTATAAAATGATAAAATGAAGTGGCTAATACACTGGAGGCATTCATCTGTATACTATTTTAAGATCTGCTATATATTTGCAAGAAAAATGTTTATTTCTTAGCTGTCTAAATTGGCAATTTCTAAGATTATTAGTCCTGGCAATGACAAAGTATCTGCTGGACAGGGTTGGGGGAAACACATTTGATTCCACAGTTGTTTCATTAAATAAAAACCCAAAAGATGAGGATCATGATCATTAACTTTTCTTTTGTGAGATTTTCTTTTAACCCATGCTTGCTGGATTTCCAAATGAATGAAGAGGCAAAATTTTAGCAAATGCTTTACTTCAGTGCATCATTTCACATTTCACCAAAATGTATTTGCACATGCAAACAAGTGAGGGGCAAGATTTGCAACAAACTTCAAAGACCTGGTTGGGGTGCATTAAAGATGTATACTACAAACTACTCCAAAATTCCATAGAGTGATTGTGGTATAAGAAAGCAGCCCTAAGCACATTTACATGGGATTTACTTTGAAGACTATTTCCATAGGTTCAGGGTGCATCCTGCATAAAAGTGATGCATTTTTAAAAGAACGTTTGTTAGGGTCACTTGCATATACTCCCTAACAGCTAGAGATGCAAGGGTTCCTAAGAAAATGTCATGTTTGGATTCATAATAACAGAAAGAGGGGACATTTAGGCCCCCAAACCCTAAATAGCATCTTGTATGGCGTTAATTACCATTTTTTATCACAAGATCATAAGCAGGATTCCTACGTCACATTAAGCAACCCTGCAGATAAGCCAGCACAGACTGAACAACCCACAGTCTGCCTGACAAACATGGCTCTCCCTTCCCCACAGTCCTCCTGCTTGCTCCAATGTATATCCCACTATCCTCAAAAACACTCAAAATTGCTAGATAGGTTGAAAGGGAAAAAGCCATTGTTTTGACAGCTATTTTAAAACATGCTCACAAAAAGATGGTGGGATGTAGATCTCACTTTTCAATGGAAATGTGGAAAAGGAAAGGAGACTGACAAGAGTCAGGGAAGGCACTGCAAAGAAATTAGGTTATCGCACCCAAAAGGGGAAATATACTCATGACTTCATTTTAGGGCAACTACCCTTTGCCACTTTTCAGTTGACAACTGTTTAGTGTACATAGCAACCTTGCTTAGTCAATGTCCATGGATGCTACCAAATACACTTTCACAGCAGACATTTATCAGGACGACCAGGAAAAGCTCCACATTTTGACCCTTCACAAGAATGCAACTACACAGGATTTTTTTTAAATTACAAATGAAATTGTACATATTTGTGCTATGCACCAGCTCAGTTTGCTAAGGTGACAACAAAAGGGGAAGTAATGAGTGACAGTCACTTCCAAGTGCAGCATGATCACTGCAGCAGCAACTGTCACTGGAACAAGCAAGCAAACACAAGAAGGGGGCACATCAGAGCAGGGATAGGAAGACAAGATGAGTTCTGCTGCACAGGAACCTGAGATAATAGCTGGGGAGAAAAGAAGAGGACACCTATAAAGGCTTTTTCTAAACAAAATTTAGAAAATTTTGGAATTTTGAAAATGACATACGATCATAAGCTGCTTTAGCAAGGGCCTTTGCAGCATTCTTCTGAAAATCAGTAAGAGTGGAAACTTCAGCAAAGGTGAGTAGTTTTCTGAGCCCCCCTGTCTCCTGAATCAGTTGCATGGTATCCACATCCTCGAGACAATTTGCCACAACTCCAAGAGCTTCCACATGTAAATCATTAAATTCCTGAAAGTTTAAAAAATGCAGACACTAAATGAGAATCATAACAGGGCTTATAAACTACATGCTTAAAGTAATTTCTAGTTCCATATTATGTTACAAACTATCAAAGATTGTCATTCATTGGTCCTCATTTTAAAAATATGCTTACAGGTCCCATAATGTATGAAAATAGTGCAAAATTGTACAAAATAGCTTGCTATGATCTATTTAAAATTGGGCCTAACACAAACAAAGGAAATGGGTGTAGTTGGGATGGATGCACCAGTGCCCTTTTCTTAGTAGCAGCATTATGCCTTGGAAGGAACTTCCAAGAACTTTTTGGCTGGAATGAAGTAGTTTAATCCTTGTTGATCTAAAATTTGCCACTTCTTAAGAACAGTGAAATACTGCAAATAGAAACCAAGCCTAGCTTCAGATTGCTCTACCAGATGGATTACACCTTTTGCTAGTAAGCTGGTGATTTCCTTTCTTAGGGTTGGAGAGGGAGGAGTGATGTGGTCTGATCTGAGAGGCAGGAGAGTCTTTCATAGCCATGATGTACCATGGAAAGAACCCACCAATCAGATGCGACAGATTCCCAGGTTAGTACATGGCGGCTTAGGTGGTCCCCAAATCGAGGTAGGACACTGCATGGAGGATTATTCACGCTGCCCATCTGCACTGTCTTTTTTCAGCTTCAGGGCATCTCTTAATCAGTTAGAACCAAGTACCATCCCGATAGTGTTAGTGGATTTGAGGCTGTCCATATTGAGGGCGACTAGGATAGGGGCTCTGTTGCCTGGCTTGGGGTGGCTGGTTTTGAGGGGCTTGGGCATGTAACCCACTTACATGCCCTGGGTTGGAACGGGCTGATGTCAAGTTGTTACCTTGGCCTTCTGTAAAGTGTCCAGGTGTTCATCAGTGCAAGCATGGAAGAGGCCCTCTCTGTAAAATGGCATGCTTTCTATCCAGGAACAAGTCTCTTGGGGAAGGTTGGTTGCCCAAAGCCATGCATGATGCCAGACCACCACTATACTGACTAGGTACCACCAGTCACTGTCAACATGATGGTGAACCGTGGAAATTTGTTGTTTGAATAGCTGGATTGCTTCAGCTAAGACAACTCTGGCCAGCTCCTGCTGTTGGTCTGGTAGGAAAGCAGCCAGAGCGTCCATCTTCTGCCACAAGAAGACCTGATACCTCCCTATCATAGCTTTGTAACTTGAAATGCAGAAGTCTAGGCACATCCCTGAGTAGAAGTGGCATGCCATCACATCAAGTTTTCAACCCTCTTTGTTGGTTGGCGCAGAGTGCTCCCTGTGAGGGCAACCTTACGTTGATTTGACAATCATGAATTTCTTGTGGGGATGATAGAAGGTAGGGGATGTCTCTGCCAGACGTAACCTTGAAAGTAATGTCCTGGAAACAGATACCAATATGGGTTCCCCCATAAGGTTGCACCATTGGTTCAGTGCCTGGAATGGAGTGATACAGGAAAACTGGCAATGAATTCAAGGATGGGACACAGAACGGACAGGGTGTACATGAGACTGGCTCCATAGTTGGATTGCAACACGGTGTTTGCATCAATCCTGTTGGGGAGCTGTGTAGCACTGGATATTGAGCCGGAGAGTTACAGCATGTTTAGTTTTGCAAGATTTCTTCACTGGTTTAGCATGTTCGGGCTCAAGGTGCTTTCTTTTTTATTTATACTTTTTTGGCACCTCAGTGACCTTGGATGGCTTAGAGACTGGAGCAGAGGGCTTCAACTTGCCTGAAGCACTGGTGGAAGGATGCTTTTTAGAGACCTCTTTTGAGGTTGAAGAGCCTTCACCTTCCTCACCAGTGGCATCTCGCATGGCACGAAGGGCATGCTCCCACATTTCCATTCTCAGGTGGAGGATGCTCAGCCCTGTTTTTGTGAGCCTGCTCACTGAAGGCTTGGCAATGGGGACATTTGTCCACTTGATGCTCCTAACCCAGACAGAACAGGCACAGTGAATGACCACTGGTAAATAGTATTTTTATGCCACATTTGGCATACTTCCCAAAAGCCGGTTTGAGTGACATCGGAAGGAAAAAGAGAAGAGAGATTCAAGAGCAAGAGAAAGAGTAAAAGGAAATAATGACAGAAGGGGTTTTCAATTTTTTTTGTGAAGTTATTAGAAGGGGAGGGAAGGGACTTCAAAGAATGGGGAATGAGGAAATTGGGGAACAAGAAAAAATAGTAAGTGACAGATGGTGAGAAAGACAAAGCTGAGTTAAAACAAAGATTGTAAGGTAAATCAAGAGTTGTGAGAAAAGACTAAGGGATCGAACTCTAGAGATCCCAATGCAATATAAATGGTGGTCAAAAGCAAACTGAGAAAATGGCAGGAGCCTACCTATTTATATAATGACAAGGGGGCAGGGCTACCACCAAAAATTCTAGGCTTAACTAAAGGAATCTACCTGAACATGGCAATGGGAAGGCCAGCACCTCTATGTATGATGCACAGAGACCACAATGAAGAAAAGAAGGCTGCCAGTTGTACTATCTTCATTCCACAAATGTCTGCTGACTTCTTGGCTTGGCTTGCTTTCCAAGACTGAGCCAAGCACAAAAGGAAGTCTGCAAATTCTAGAGGGACAGTTTCCAGTGAGTTTCATCCCAATCCAGATTCTTGGGGGGACCCCACTACTTACTTCCCTCTGTTTTCAGAATTTATCATTTATTCCTATGCTCTGCTTTCAGTTGCTGATCTAATACAATGGCTTCTCCACATATTCTATGACTGCTCTATTTACCCAGGAAACTTTGGTGTAGAGTTTTGTCAAATACCTTTTGAAAGTCCAAGTATCTCAATGTCTCTCAGACCCCTCCATCCACATGCTTCTTGACAAAGAACTCACAAAGAACTCTAAAAGGTTAGTAAAATGGACTTACTTTTGTAGAAGTCACGATTTTTCTTCAGCAAGACTTGTAATTCTATATAGTTGATTATTTTATTTTTTATTAATGCCATCCAACAATTTACCCACCAGATAACCCTATAATATCCCGATTCCCCTAAATCTGCTTTTAAAAATGGAATTGCAATGGTAGCTTCCAGTTCTCTGCTACAGAATCTATTCTTAGGGATAGCAAATACTGATTTTTTTTAAATGTTTGTTCAACTAAATTAATTTTGTGTGTGAGGACAAAGAGTTATTATTTTTGTATAGGCACTTATAAAAACTACAAATATCAGATACAATCTTTTAAAAAAGGAATACTCTTTAGAGTGAAATAGAGAGGGAATGAATATTCTAAAAAAATTTGTCATGTGACCTACCTAAAAGTTTCCCCCGCAAAGTATATTTTTTATTTCAAAACTGTTTTTTTCCATGGGAATTTCTTCATATTATATTAATTGACTAAAACTCATAAAACAAGGTAAGTAAGATTTATTCAAGTAGCTAACTATTCAAATGTCCAGTAAATGGTACCTTAGTTTCTAGTATCTTGAAAAGATGATCCAGTCCTTGATTTTCTCTAAGCATCACTCTGGTCTCTCTGTCAATGCTAATTATACCTAAAGTTTTGAGTGCTAACAACTGAATTATTGGATAGTCAGACTTCAGAAGATCCAGCAAAGGAGGAATTACATTTAGTTCACGAACTGCAGCACGACTCTGAAAATCCTGTAGTTAAATGTCAAATAGAAATGTTATGATGGGAAAATACAATAATGGTTAATACTGTAGTTTTAGTCAAAGGAAAATATGAACACAAATTTAGTTAACTGAACTATTTTGAAGTGATTAATTGTTATGGACTGAATATCATACATTATACATTAGACAGAACAATATATAGTTTTAGCTTGTATATAATTTAATATGTATTATTACTATTAGTTTCATACTATGTTTTAAAGTACTTTTCAAGGAAAAACTAAGAAAAATTTCTAGCATCATGTGACTTCTACAAATAGGGCTAATCAAATGCAATTTGTTCATTTATCCAAGTGTGAGGATGTTATTTACATACTTCTCTTGCATCTTTACAGATCTATTTTCTTGCTGTATGAATGTTAAAATTTTTCCTGCTAAATACGTCATTTTTTAGCACCAGATCTTCCCAAAAGAATGGTTGCTCACTGTACAGTATTAAAATGGTAAAATATAAAAAGTTTTAACTTTAAAATACCATCCTGGGCATGTTTTTGTGCAATTTTCCTTATCAATCTAAGCAAGCACCAGGTGCAGTTGTCCAGATATATCTTACAACAAAGAAAGCTAGATAGAAAAAGAAGGGAAACAGAAAAATGTGATTCAGAATAAAGACATGCTCTGATGCCCTAGAAAAGATTGAACTATGAATTGAATTCATTACTAAGTTGATTCACTTATAGCCCGATCCACAATGCAGTTAAAATAGAATGCTTGGACTTAAGCCAATTTGGGACCATTGAATTCAATGGAGCTAAATCGGCTTAAATCCTAGTGTTTCAGCTACACAGGATTGTGGATTATGCTATTAGACTCTGAAAAGAACTTCTATACAAATGCACTGTTCTTTCACTAACCAGCATACGGTGACATTAACACTGATTGTGAAAGTAACCAATTACAATAACCTTCCTTCCCTTATGAAAAGAAGCTGTCAAAGGCATTTACGAAGAGTTAAGAAGATGTGAAAAATCATGATGTGATGTAAGAATAAGACAAAAACCATTTCTTATCCCCCACCCCACCCAAGCCAGACATTTTTATATCCCCCCCCCTTTGGAAGGGTCAAACAATTTTTTCTACACAATGAAAAGAAGATGGAGTTTATGCATTCTAGAGTCTTGAAAATGATTTCCTTTATATTCATGCAAATGGAGTTTCCTGGAGCCTACGCTAAACACATTTAATTGGAAGCAAATTCCACTGGAATCAATGGGACCTGCCATTAAGTAAATCACTCCAACTCAGTGCAAGAGAGATCCACATATTATTGTTCATGGATCTCACAAGTCCACCCCCTTTCCAAATGCAAAAGGGCATTTTGATAGCGAAAATCCTGCAAGTGAAACTCAGATCTGCATCCAGTGAGCACACTAATTATACTTCAGCACAGTGGGAGAAGTGGATCTTTTATCTCCTTCCAGTCTAACATGTGATCAGCAATGTTAGAGATAACTATTATATCTATTATTAGGCAGGAAGACAGAAGAAACTTCTTCTTAAACTGAGCAGCAAAGGCACAGACAGTTCCCAGAGCAGCCTATCCCCACTCAGTGCCCCCTGGACCACAACAACCAACATCTTTACCCAGAATGGACAATACATTCCAAAAAATCTGTGGATGCAGGTTTGGTGAGATTGTCCTAGATAAAGGGGTGTACAGAAGATGTACATAAAAATGATATGCCAGGAAAATTAACCATGTATAGGCAAATGTATGTTTCTTTGAAATTAAAAATTTAAAAATAATCACCTGTACCAGGTTGTGGATGCATTCAACACAGTTCTTCTTAACATCAGGGTCAGGACTTCCTAGCAGTCTGATAAGTGGCTCTAGTCCGCCTTGCTCAAATATTTGCACTTTACTGTTATATTCAACTGCCATATGTGCCAGACAAAGGCTTGCAAATTCATGTATGACTACATCTTCTACAACATAAAAAAGGAATAGTGCCATTAATCAGCACAGAAAATAGTAATTTGTTAATGGTTAGCAATATGTTGTTGGAATCTCAATAGACAATGGCCCTTACTAAATTCTCAACAAAATTTGCTATACACAACTAATTAATTGTTAAAAAAAACCACAAGAAAATAAATTTAAAAATTTTCAACAAACCAGTGGTATAAAAACTTGCTATCAAATGACAGAAGCAACAATAATTCACATAAAGAGTCACTGCAAGTTACCTTCTGGTGCTAGGCGAGCTATGAATGCACTTGTAACATCGAGTTGTCTTAATGATTTTTTCACATCATCTACAATGAAGCATATACAGAATGAAGTGATATATTTTGTTAATTGAAGGGATACAGCAGGATTGCAGAACTTTTGACACAGGTGCCAAATCTGGCCTTCCAAGAGTCCCAATCTGGACCTTCCTTCCCAATCTTTTAACCCTAGGGGCCTGGTCCAGCCAAGGCACTGTACATTCAGAATCAAGGATACTTAGGAAGAAACAAAACCACCTGTGTCAAAGATGGTAACATGGTTTATTGAATACAAAATTGGAATATGGATACATATTGTCAATGAACAAACAAAAAGAAAGCTCACAGATGACCCTTTAGTCACAAAGCTTCCTGATGTGATGATGCTCTTTGGGACACTAGCTACGTGGATACCTTACATATTCCTGGTTCCAAGTAGAAAGCTTTCCCTCACCATGGATCTTATACAGCTCCTCTTTTCCTGTGTTTCAGAAGCTGCCACTTTGAACAAACTACTGCCTGCCTCCTGGGAGGCAAGGTAAGAGAAGGCCCACCAATCCCAATTAACTTTTAGCAAAATGGTGTGTAAGCATCCTCATATCGAGGATGAAGCAAGGAATTCACAGCACTCCTCCTATCTTCAGCAAGGCCCTAAAGGATACACACAGCAGTTAAACCTAATGACTATCTGTGCCTGTACTTAATGCCTGCACTGAGCACTGGGAGCAGTCTACACTGTACCCTCATTCACAATGCTTTCCAATCCTTGATTCCAATACACCTGGTCCCACTTCTTTTCCCCAAGCTACTGATTATTCAGAGGTTTGCAAGCTTTTGTGCTACTTTGCACCATTCTGAAATGCTGAAATACCTCTCCCAAGATGTAGTTACTGGAAAGAAGAGCTTCAAACTAAAATATGCTAGTATTTTGGCCCTCCCTTAATGAAGTTCTACTGTAACAAAGGTGGGCAGCTGATTGACCCTCAAAGTTTATTATACTTACGTGGGACAGAAATTTGGGGGATTGACAGTGCTATCATAAATGTTTTAGAAATAGTGCAGAACTTCTTTAGTGAACTTTGTCTTCCTCCCACAACCCCTGCAGCCTTCTTGCACACAGAATCAGGATGGCCATCCATTAGGACAAGAATAGACTGCCCAGTTTCAGTATCTTAAATTACTCTTTTTCCTAATGAACACTTTCCAGCTTTGTGCCATTTGGAAATGAATGAAAACCCTATTTAAAAGTCAAGGCTCCATAATTTGGCATCTACCTACTATACTTCTGATTTGAATACTATCTTTACTCTGGGTAAGAGGCAATTAAGAGATTGGCTATTTTAGATAGACTCTAGAAGGAACCTGCAGTTAATTAAAAACCTCTAAACTCTCTCAGTGGTTTCCTCTTTTGCAAACAGAACATTATAGAGCTAGCTATCTCTCCAGACTGAGACCATCCTCTTTAAGAAATGCTTTTATTGAGTTGTGATTGCAAGTTATGCCAACCACAGTTTTGGATGGGTGATATAACAAGGTGCCTTTTGAATGCAGATCATGTATTTGTGGTTTATATCACACTGAAGACATAATTCATTACATGTTAATCTATCCTCTATATACTGATCCCAGAGAGAGACTCCTGAAACCCTTGCTATCGCATGGATATAAGAACGCCTTGGCAGAAACAGTTCATTTTCTTTTAAGTGGTATTAATAGATATGTGGCACATAGTTGCTTTTTTGTTTTGCCGGCAAAAAAGATCAAGAAGAGAGAATTAAGACAAAATTAGACAAAAGAGAATTAGAAAAAACTGCATTGGAGATTGAGAGTTAAAGATCAGTTTCTGTTCATAGTATATTTAAAATTTATGTATGTTATATATTGTTTGAAATTCTTCATTTTGTTGTCTATGAGCATACATTTGATGCTTTTGTCAAGGCCTTTGGCTAGTATAATAAACTTTGAACTGTATTAATTTTGCAAATTTGGCAACATTTCTGCAAAAGCTTTCATACTGAAGCCTTTCTTTTTAAAGTTTTTGAATACTTTATAGTTGTATCTAAATTTTTTAAAATTATTTTGTTCCAGTAGATCCAAGGACCATTTATGAAAGCAACATTGAATTATAATACTCTAGTGTCAGTGACAATTGCATAATTTATGAAGGATTGATTGGAACAGGGACATATTAGAAATTCTTCAGCAAATCCACATTTCATTAGTTCACTTCAGATGGTATTCTACCTGACATTCTTTCTACAAGCAGCAAAGGATTTCTACCCACCAAATGCACATGCCCTGCCTCTGACACCCCAAGACATCCATACACAGGCATCATATGTATGTACAGCAGCAGATCACTTATATTAAAAGAAGTTTCTAAATGATATCCAAAACATTCAGGATAAACTATAATAAAAACCACGTATTATTAGACCGTACTGAAGACAAGGCCACTTTATTTGAAAAGTAAATGTTCCGTCAATTTTTTCAAGTAACAACATAGAAGGCTTGGCACTTGCATAATATTTACTTAGAGGTTCCAGAGATGCTTTAACTTACAGTTCTGCACTGAGCAGGAGGCTGGACCTGATGACCTTACTGGTCCCTTCCAATTCTACTGTTCTATGACTGGAGCCACCAAGAATCAGATCTTTAAAATCTTAGATATCACCAAGAGAATATTTCCTGATATTCACAGCAACTGAAGAGGAAGGCAGGGGTTCAGGCAATCTCCTAAGAATCCTAGTGTGGAGTTGTCTACAGTTTTGTAAACAAGTACCTATGTTGTGAGCCAGGGTTCTTCGTTCGCACATTCAAAAGCCACAGACCGTTTTCTTTGCAAAGTGTTCTTTATTGACCAAAAGCACAAATTACCCAGAATGAATTTCTAAGTATTCAGACAGCAGTTTGTTGAACTCAATCTAGTAATCACCTCTAGGAATTCTGTTTATGAGAATGTCTGGGCTTCATCCCTTTGGGAAGGGCCTTCTGACAGTGAGCACACCTGCTCTCCATGCACTGATACTCTAATTGGGCTGCCCTCCTCTTTTTACACTGTATCATGGGGGTCAAAAGCCCAGGGTGTCTGGTCTGTTTCTGAGAAACTCCCCTGCTCAGGGTCCCTCCTACCAGCTGTACATTTTAGTTATTCCCAGGAATTTCTTGCCCATCTGGGGAGTCTTCTGGCCTTGAGATAAGCACCACTGCTTATCTCATCTTAATGTCTCAGCATGACCCAACTCCCAAACTCCCTCCAGTTCTGCTTCACATTCTGATTCTTCTGAAACCCAGCCAGTAGTCCTTGAGAACAAGTGCCCAAATGAGCCATTTTTCTCACTCTCAACAACCTAACCCTTAAATCTGCCTGAACATCATATTGGTAATCAGTACAATTCCCCCAGCATAAAATGCAGGAATAAGCTGCTCGTGTTACTAACGTGGCTGTGGCATTCTGTACAAACTGCACCTTCCAAACCAACCTTAAGAGCTTAGGCAAGGGGCACTGCACTAATCCAATTTATTTATTATTTATCTATTTAAAACTTTTATATGCCGTCACCACATGCCTCAGCATCTCGGGATGGCTTACAACACACACAATTAAAAACAATAAAACAACAACAAATTCCATAAATTATATAAAAACAAAAACAGGTACCATTTTGCAGGTACCATTGCATGGATCACAGCAATCATACTGCCCATGTCCAGCAACTGGATTAATCTGATAAAAGACACTCTTAATGATAAGAAAACTTGTGCCTCTAGTGACAATGCTGGATAAAAGAGCACCCCCAGACACCTATTCCTTCACGGGGAGTAAAACCTATCCAGATGATTGACCCAGTTCCCAGATATAGAAACCACTCACAGACGGAGCCTCTGTTGTGACAGGATTCAGATTCACTGTTTTGACAGTGAGTCAAAATTTTGCCTGCAGCAAAATTCAAGGGAGCTTGCTTACACTGGAAACAGGCACTGGCCCTTTCGTGATACCTGACTTCACAGGCAAGGAGGATTATAGACTGTTATGGGTATGATGCAGCTGAAATAGCTTGCAGTATCCTCCTCTGACAGGAAGCCCTGGTTGCAGTGGAAGCTAGTTGAGTTTCTGGTTTAAGTTCCATGGTGCCAGACAACTAGATGAACAGCAAATACTTTAAAATGGATTTAAAAAAAAAAGATGGCATGTATCATTAACACAAGGGAAGTTTGTACCATTTGTGACACTTCAAGCTGAAACCAGCCCAAAAGCCACCTATTTCATGAACATGCCTATTTCTGCAGTCCTGGGAAAGCAACAAAAATTCAAAATTTATGGAGCCCCTGATGGACTGACATCTTTGACTGTTGACTGCTATTGATTTGGAGGGAAAACAAGTTTTCCAAGGCCTCATATAGGCTAAATCGCCAGGTTCTCACACTATATTACTGCTCTCTGCATAGACCCTTCTGTTTTATTATGCCTCAAGTTTATTTATTTATTTATTTAAAACATTTCTATGCTGCCCCCATCGCAACAAAGCCTCAGGGCGGCTCACAACAAAAACAAACAAAAGCATATAAAAATTATACAATAAAAATATTAAAACCCGGTGCATCTCGGCTTAATTAAAAAAAAACCTACATAATAAATTAACAATTAAAATAAGTTTTAAATAAAAAGGTCTTAGCCTGGCGCCGAAAAACAAGTAACGACGGCGGACCTCTCTGGGGAGCGCATTCCATAGGTGGGGCGCCACCGCAGAGAAAGCCCTCCTCCGGGTACTCACTCACCTAGTATCATTCACAGAGGGTTCCCGGAGAAGGGCATCTGTTGCTGATCTCAAGGGGCGTGAGGGCAAGTTTAGCTGTTGGGATTACCATGATAATATAGCAACCCCAAAAATTCTGGTAAATTGATCTACTTCTGTTCCACAAGAGTGTTACACTTTTGTTTCATCATTTACATTGGGGTAATATTGCTAGTACATATAATTGCACAAGTTTATAAGAAGATTCTTACTGTGAGAAGCCATGATCCCAACTACCATTGTAGCATTTCTACGGACAACAGGGTCTTCATGAGTAACTAATTTAAATAAAGGTTCCAGGGCCCCAAGCTCAAGAAGTGTCAGCTTGTTTTCTTCACCTAAAATGTTAATAGTTCTTAATGTCCAACAGACAATATATAATAATATCAATATAAACATATTCTATAAACTCTAGGCATGGATATATCACTCTCTGGTTCATTATTTTTTGTATTTCACATAAGTCCATGCTGTTCTGTTTCTGCAATTTTCTTGTTCAATCTACACAAACGCACATCTAAAGATGCATTTAAGTATGAATTTTAAAACATTTTTTCTAAATTTATTTCTAAATGCCTTTTGATATTTTTCAGCCAATAATTGATTTGGAACATTCAGGAGCGCAAAAGTCAGTGAATAACTAAATTCTGATCTTCATGTTAGTTTGGCAGGTGTAGATCCAGTCATTTCATTTCAGAATTTACAAATATCAAATTCCTTAAGCACTCCTAATAAGAGTGCCAGAGTCAAGAAAAAAGAATCTTAATTGTACCTTTATTAAACCTTTTCCTCCCACTTCAGTTTTTCTACCTTAAACCACTGGCCCTTAAAATCCATTTCTACAAGCACTGGTATATGCATTATTCTACCAAGAAAAGAGAGGCATTTTAGAAGTGTCTGGTGCTTGAACTGCTTTCTCTATTTCACACAGAAATTAAGGGTAAGAGACACAGGTACCTAACAATAGTAAAAAAAAAAAAAAAAGGCCTTTGCTATAATGGTTCGTTCAAACATGGTACAGTTCTTTAATTATACTAGAGCACCTTTCAATGCATGTGTGAATAACTATCTGAAAGTACTGTACTGCAGATCTTCCTACAGCTGAGAAGGTAATACAGGGAGAAGAAAGTTTCTCACCTGCCTCTGAGAAATGATCCTGGTATAATTCCATAAAGCATGTGTCAGAATTTTATTTATTTATTTATTTATTTATTTATCAATTTATATCCTGCCTTTTTCCTCAAAGGGCTCAAGGCAGCTTAGATCATTCTCCTCCTCCATCTTATCCCCACAACAACCCTGTGAGGTAGGTTGGGCTGAGAGTCTGTGACTGGCCCAAAGTCACCCAGTTGGCTCCATGGCTGAGCGGGGACTAGAACCCAGATCACCTGAGTCCCAGTCCCATGCTTTTAACCACTACACCACACTGGCTCTAAGCTGTAAGACTGATCAGCTGTAAGACCGATCTGGCTGAGAATTTTCCTCCTGGTCCTCATTCCAAAGAGGCTGTTCATATCATGCCTCAGCTGGACAAGTGGAACCATATCACTTTGTACTCCATACAATACCTTGCATGCTGCTAGCCTTCAAATGTTAAGCAGCAGTAAAAGATATTAATGGAAGGATTTGGTACTAAGTAGATATATTAAAGAAAGGAAATATAAGACATGTAATGAGAGTGATTACTGAGAAACAAACCTTTTGATGCAAATTTATAAAGAGCTTCACATGCTTTAGACAAAACTTCCTCTTCTGGGGAACTGAGCATTAGCACCACTGTTGCAGCTTTCTTGCTTTCAACTGATAAAGGATCAAACTAGAAAAATAAATCACAAATGTTATAATTCTGTTCATTTTGGCAGCTTATCATGTACGATACAGTAATCTGGATACTGAATATCTTATCTCAAATTAGGATAGAAATATTAGAGTGGGATTACCAATTCAGAAAACCAAATGGTCGATTGGCTGGTTTGGTACTTTGATAGCAATCTAGTATCCTTGTGAGAAAGAAGGGGCCAAAATCACAGTAAAAATTACTTGTTCATATTGGAAGCAGAAAGATATTGCTTTAGATTCAAAAACAACACTGGATATGCACCATGGGATGCAAAACTCCAGAGGCCCAGTGAAACACAGCAACTTTAAAACATGGTCGAGTGACCAGGTTTTAAATAAATGAAAAGGGCAGGCTAATTGCTTCCTGTAATTTCTACCCTGCAGCCAATGTGTAACATTGATCTATCATTTTGGGGAGGGGCAAGTAGTAACCTAGCTACAAAAAAATACAGTCTGTTTCTCCATTTCTTGTGATGAATGCATGGAAAATGTATAATCTCCTTCCTCTATATACACTGAAATGTAGATCTTATTGATACAAAAATAAGTATACATGACAAAAAAATAAAATGGTTGCTTTATTTAATAAAACTGTCAGCCATTATGATCCCTTTCTGCCATAGCTGGCATTCAAGGCATCCTGACAAAATACCTTAAAATATTATCATATACTTCCTACTTCCTTGAGTGACAAAAAGTTCCAGAAGCAGCACTGTTAGGGTTGGTTTCCTTTTAGAGAAGAAATAAAATGTGATTTGAGTTGCTCACAAATGTACTAGTGTAATATAAGTGGAAGTGAGCAACACATGTAAACCTGCCTTTTCATATCACACCCTTAAAGTGCCCTTTGGTTCATCCTTCCTTTGCTTAGCTTTCAATCAGATCTACTTCACATTATCACCACTCTGGTTTGTCTAAGCCATGGTGGGCTCTGGCACATGCCAGGCATTTTTAAAGTCTGAGCATATGGTGTGTTGCATTGGCGATCTGATAGTTTTGAGACCATTGGTTTGCACAAACTGTAATGTGTTCACACATAAACACCTCTTAACCCTCTTTTAGTTTGGGGAGGGAGAGAGAGGAAATGGCTTCCACATTCCAGAGAAATACCTATGTATCACCCATTACTTCCACTGAAGAAACATCCACCATTCATTTTGAAACATTAGCCTGTAATCTGCTTAACACAAAAGATGTCTGGCCTATCAGAAAAGGTGCTGGATAGTCTGGTGTAATTAACAGCAGAGTTGCATCATACAAAGAAAGCAAAATAACACAGCATTCAGCTTTAGAGGCAATGAACCCACGTTACAGGCAGTTTGATTTAAAGTAAGTTCCAAATCAACTTAATTAGTTCTCTCATATAAATTGCTGGAGAAGATTAACATGTTTTAACTACAAGCATCTTGTAAAGCAGGGCATGTGAGTGCAAGTATATGAAAAAAAAAGGAGATATGGTTACTTGCTCTATCATGGAGAAGGCACATGTTGCTTGCTTCTTAGGCGCAGAGGAAGGAGTAAAATGAACTGTCCTAAGTTACAAGACACCAAGGGGATGAAATGAGACTAGCAGCAATTGATATAACATTTCCATTACCCATTATTGCCCAAAAGAGAGCCTCCAGCTATGGGGTGGCATACAAATGTGATAGAGATAGATAGATAGATAGATAGATAGATAGATAGATAGATAGATAGATAGATACTGTTCCTATTATCCAACACAAGAAGGCCAGGACCTTCAAACCATATTTACTAACAGCTCCTCCTGAAAGAATAATTGAATTTGTTAACAATGAAATCGGAAACATAAAAAGCAAGTCAAAAAGAAATTTGTGGTAAAGCCTGTCCTCTACCTTAGGGCATTCAAATAGCTTATTAGGGCCTGCTGGTTGTTATATACATCTGAAAATCTTTTTGAGGGAGAGAGGGAGAATTTGGTTTTAAATTTTGTATTGTCAACTTTTAATGATTTTTAAATATTTTAAAATGATGTATCTTTTGTTATTTTGAATGTGCTTTGTGAACCACCCACAGAGCTTCAGCTTGACCTCAGGCAAACTAATTCCATTTTGTGACATCACATTTTCTCACACAGAGAGATATTTACCTAAGATATTCTAATTTCACTTTGTTCTTACTTGCTTGGTCATGCATGGCCAATCAAACATTTTTCTTTGGCATCAGAAAGCAGATATACAAATTCTAGTAGTTACAACCCTCTTCCAAAGTCACATTCCTAGTGAATTCAAACATCTATATCCCCTAACGATACCAAAGGGTATGGAAATAAATTCCTAAAGTCAATGAGCAGCTTCAAAAGCATCAAACCCACCACCAAACCATGCATTCTCATTTATGGTTCGTGCTTAATTTTGTCCTGAAGATTCAATAAAGTCCTCCACAGAAATTACTGCTCTTAGTCTAAAAAAGCCCATGTGGGACATAAGCCTTCCAAATCCTGGAATCCTTGAAATCATCTTCCAAGCACTTCAAATACAAGCAGACAGGTTCCATACATGGTCATGGTCTTAGCTGTAATGTCAACAGTGGAGTCACCTTCAGAGGAGAAGCCAGAACCTTCAAAATCAAATTGCTCCTCAAAAGACACCGACAATAACTAAGATGGTCTGGGACTTTCAGGGTGTTGACTTTGGAATCTGCTTCCCAGAGAAGCAGAGCTTAGCTTCTGAGGCAGACTGTGATGCTGGGCCACCAGCTACCCGCCCCCGCCCCCCAAGAATGCCAACGCCTTATGAAATTTGTGCCCAGGCAAAGGAGTGCATGCACATTGAAAATTATTCATGAGCTGGATTCTCCTTATGAGGAAGACATCTGACACATCTCTAAAGTGATGCAGCTGAGCACTGGATAGGGTGATTCTAGCTCTATCAGCTCTTACTGGTAATTTAAGAGCTGGTGGAAACAGTGTCTAGTTGGAGTCTGTATCCTGTTTTCTCTCTGATTTTGTTGTGTTTGTGCATCTGTATTACTGACCTCTGGACTTCTACCTGGCATCGTTTAGGACTGTGTTTTTACTTGATTAATCTTCTGGCTTTTGGTTTTAACTGCATCTAAGTTTATCATTACTGACCTCCTAAACTGACTATTCAAAATAGATAGATCACTGTATTTGCTTAGCAAAGACCCAGGACTCAGTGTAATAGAGGGTACCTTCTTCCTGTGCCACCTCCCAATCCCCAAGCCCTGTTCCTTCCTGCCATTTCTTAATGGAAACAGTAGTAGAAGAAAAATTAAAAGGGATGGTTTTCCCTTATTCTCTTCCTCCACAGTACTGCCCTTCAGTATCACCCAGCATTAATAACAAACATGGTGGATTATTGAAAGGTAGTTGTTCAAGGTCTCTTGAGAAGGGAATGTATTTGTGGGGGGAGCAGAGGGGTGACAATCTCCAAGTTCTAACGTAGGAACATTTCTGATTTCCCTGATTTGGGAAGGAAAAGTCTGGAAAACCCCAAGGCAAACCAAAGAACAAGTACAAGTGTTCACCTGTAAGAATGGATCTGGAGTGAGAAGCCTTTTTTTTCAGTTGAGGGCTCCAATATTCCGGGCAATCAGGGCCATGTGCTGGCCGGCCACAGGTAGCACTAAAGCACTGAATGAGGCTGCCCCTCTTCTCTATCCCCCACTTAAAGGACTATTGAACGAACAGCAGATTGCAGTTCAAATTAGCATTTGCAAGGGGCTGCTTGAAATTAGGATGTGGCGGGAGGGGATGCAGCCCTATCTGACAGGTCGCTTAACTGTGCATTAAGGTGCTTGGCTATGTGAGATCAATATGTTCTACTGAAAAACATTTGTACAAGCCTAAAGAACCAATTGTAAAGTTTCTGAAGAGGGGTTGGAGCATTCCTGACAGGCCAAGTGTTTTCTCCATCCCTGGCACAGAGCCTATCCCTCTTTTATTAACAGAGTCAAACAGAGTCTGTCCCTCTTTTACTAACTCAACATTTAGATTTGGAGATCTAAATTGCCTCCTTTTCCTCTTTTGAAAGCCAGTCTCCCTTCTGATTCTCTGTCACACTCCAGCACAACACTGCTAGAGTATAGCAAAAACAGAGAGCATTGGAAATTGGCTATTATATACATGGATCAGTGAACTTGAAAAGAAAAAAAGAGCTGGCAATGAGCAGCCCTATATGACAATATTGGCTCTGGATAGATTTTGATGTTAATGAGTTTTTAAATGAAATAATCTTGTTGCTCAGCTATAGGCAACAGTCATAAAATTGGTAGCAAAGAATTTATAGATCCAAAGTGTGAATACATAATATAACATACATAATTTACATTAAAATACATTGAAGTATCTTCCTCGACCATGCCTTAAGATCCTACACAAAAGGGTCAGAAAAAGCATGAATTGAGATCATTATGAATTCTTCAGTGAAGAGCTGTTTAGTGTGCAGATGTAGGCAAAAGTAAACTAGGGACAGGGAGGAGATAAAAAATAATACAGGAGAAAAATGCAGCAGCATTGCACAAATCTACAATTCACCTTCATCTGGAATATGTGTACAGTGCTGCTGATCTGTCATTCATGGCATCCTTTCTGTAGTTGGCCACTAAAGAATTGACATCTTAAATTATTGAAGGTCTCATATGATCTCATTTGAAGAACTGGCATGTGGAACCTTTTGTAACAAGATGCGATTTGTCCCAACAGCTGAGTATATGGTCTTTAGAAAGAGTTTTTTTGTTTTTTACTCTTTCCACATTTGTGGTTGTAACAGTGGTATGAACGTACAATCAACAGATTCTGAATTAAGGTTTACAATTCAACATGTGAAATAATCTAATCCTTTTTGTTGCTATGGGAATAGATGAGGTATGACATAATTGGTAAAAATCAAACACTTCAGCCATTATTAGCTAGTTTATAAAGGTTTTAGAAATTAGACTACAGTTAGAATATTACCAGTTAGTTAAAGAATAGGTTTCCTGGGTTTTTACCTTTTTTTCTGGAATCATGATATTGAACTCTATGTCAATAATAATAATATCATCTTTTTTTGCATTCAGATAACTTACATTTTCTTTTGATTAACCTTATACTGTCCTCTGACTGTTAGCCAAATCAATGTGAAGCCTCTTATTTTTATTTATATGGGTGTGTGTTTGTGTATGTACACATGCATGCACACATATATTAACTAGCTGATCTGTGCTGGCCCCTAAGCTGGTGGCTGTTATCCTCAAGCACCAATTCTGCAAAGTTGCTGGCCCTCTCTTTCACGTTTCTTCATCAACTCTACACGATTATTACTCTGATAACAGTAACTTTGCATATCTCCCCACACCGGGTGCCTGCAATGAGCAGTTGTACGGCATAAGGGGACTTCAGTCAAAATATCAAATGGAAATTAAAAAGATTATTCATACATTATGAATAAAGCTGGCAAAGTGTTACAACTCCCTCGTGGATCCAAATAATTTTTGGACAACAATGTAAATGACATAACTACTATATGACAGGCAACAGTCCAAGATGTTTGTCAACTTCATATTGATGTTCTGATAACTGAAAGGCCAGCAAAACACTCTCTAGGAATTAGTCCCAGTAAGACAAACCTTCGCAGAGCCAAAGCATTCAAGGATAGTCACAGCACTCGGCTATGGATGGCATATTCTGCACTATTATACTGGATTTAAAAAAATGTAACAGCCCTTCTTGTGCTACCTTCATGTAAGTTCAGATCTCAAAAGCCAACTCTCCATGTTGCCAGACCAGTCAAAGCACTGTCATGCCATGATCCTTATTCAGCCATCTGGAAGTGATACATAATGTTCATTTCCATTTCTGACCTTTCTCAAACAAAAAGAACTCTACTGTGAAATCCAGCTGCCTTGACCCTGTTTAAGCGTTTATTTGAAACTGACATCAGTTGAAGAAAGGGCAAATCTTGTAAAATGACTTTTGTTCTTTATTTAGAATCAAACATTTTGGAAACCTTTCAGTTTAAACACCAACAAAATTAAATGTTCTCATTGTACTCAAAATAGCACCTTGGGTCTGAACAAACTGTATTTCTGCCTATACCATGCCCACCCCAGCCCAGATATTGCAGGAACAATTTTAAGGAAATCAACACTTTGTATTATTAGACATAATTTTCTTGTTTCTGATTCTACAGTACATCTAACACCAAACACTATGCATACTTGCTTATATTTAAATACCTATGAGAGCTGTAGGGATAATTCCCAAGTTAAGATGCAGAACATTCCAGCTTAAGGGCACCATCCAACATGAACGTCTAGCTCTCCAAACCTGGAGGGTTCCTGTCTAGCATGGAAAATTCATACTGCCTCTTGATGAGGAAGGGTCAAGTGCTGGATCACGTATCTGTCCACAGTTAGTTCCTCAACCACTAAAGAAACTATCATGCCACTTCTTGCCCTGTCCAAGCTAGCAGACATCATCATCAGTTGCTGGCTGGAAAGGGGTGAAGACCCTATCATGCAAAGCATCCCATGTAGATGGTGTACTCCCCTACTCCAAAACAAGCAGTTTGAAATATTGCCATGGGATTCAAAAAATCTGATCAAAAAAATCAATTTTCTAAACATGGGTGGCTCCTTTGGAATCCACTTTCAATAATCTCTCTCTCTCTCACACACACACACCCTCACTCACAATTAGAACTTGACTTACTCTTATTTCTTGGTTATAGACATAATTTGAATGAAAACCATAGCTATAGATTTACTTTCTGGATTATAAAGAAGAGGAGCTGTGCCACATTGCTTCAATAGATTTGATGCATTATTCCCTGGATTCAATATTTTTTAAATCCATTTATGGATGTTTTTATTGCAATTACAAGAGAGGCAGAATAATGGCCATTCATTTGTATTTTTTCAAATATTATTAAAGTCTTATAAGTTTAAAAATACTAAAATTTACAATTCTGATGTTTTAACTACTTATGAATCAGAGAAAACATGAGAGCACTTCTTAAACACATTTTAAGTTATTGAACATCTATAAAATCAATCATGTTTATAAAAGGGGGAAAAAGAGGGATTTTGAAAATGAATGGACACACCTCTCCTTAACAGAGCAGTTTTTGTAAGCCAAAGTCAAAGCTGTAAAAAAAATTAGACTACAGAGGTCACAGCACAGTTGAGTTTGTATTATTATAGATTAATATACTTATTAATATTTCTTTTTCTACAAGGGAAGCCCTTTTTTCTATATTAACAAAGGGGAGAAGGTCTATGAAAAGATAACATGCTTCCCAAAATAAATGTAATTGATCCCACTGTTTACACACATGGCTCAACTGAAGCAAAAATATGATTATCTTTACAAGACATTTTTAGAGGTATAAATGGAAGAAAGTAGGAGTAAATGGCTGAAGAACAACAAACTTGAAGGCTATAATTGTGAAACATTTTTACAGCAAGCAGTATTTTATAAACTTACCACATCCTTAGGAGGAGGCTCCACTTCCTTTTTTACCTTTTTACCCATTCTAAAAACAAACAAAAGAACAGATGATGAACAGACAACCAAGGCTGAACAGACACAATTTACATGGAGCTCAGCCTTATTTCACAGAAGTTTATGGAACAGTTGTCATTGGGATGAGAAATGATGCCTACATGGGATTTCACAACATCCCAATGCAATTCATGCCTTTAATAGTTGCTAAGGGAATGGCAGCACCATTTCACTAGTTTTTTTCCCTTAAAAGAAGCCTTCTCTAACTCGACTCATTAGTTGTTAGGGATACTGTCAGAGTCCAGAAATAACCATATTCTAGTGTGGATAAGCAGATCCAGTAACACTAACCTTTTTTTAATACCTGCTGGAGTCTTAAAGTTATATTTTAGTTATATGCTTTATACTTATAGCATTTACAGCAGGACCTCTGGCTCATTTACCATGTTTTCAGTTAACCCCGGTTGACCTTAGCCTAAAGAGAAGTCATAAAGTGCCGTAAAGTGTTGTGAAGGAAGTCTTAAAGTGCTAAGGTCAGAATTTTAAAAAATGGGGAAAAGAAATGCATATAGTTTATTTTGCACCTGGCTGCCCACTGTCACAGCCTGTAGGCCCCCACTTGCTCTTCTATAGTACACTGCATAGTGTTTGCTATTATCCGCAGTTTGGGGCATCTGCTGTGGGGGGGGGGGGCTTGGAATCAATCCATGCAGATTTGGGGATCCTGCTGTATAGTTACTTTTTAAGAAAGCAGTGGTGCAAGTAGGTCCCTTATGCTGGTTTCCAGAGCCAGAGCTACACTGCACGATTGCCTCTTAACTCTTCCCTGCAAGCACCTGTGACAGTGTTCCTGGTTCTGCAGGCACTTGCAGGGTCTGTCAGGCCCTGGTCCTGACAGTTGCAAGTCAATTCCTAGCTCAATCTACAGGTCAATAGTGACATAAAGACAGGCATGAGCTTAGAAACACATTGGCTGTGATAATAAAGGACTTTAATAGAAATTATCCTCATTCCATAAGAATATACAGTCAGATTTTAGTTGCAGCTTAACATAACCCGTAATAACATTTGCTTGGAAACATGTTTAGATGGGTGACATTTTGCATAAAAATTAGGAGATGAAGGAAGGAGAGTGGTTGTCACACCTGCATCTGTGAAGCAGAGGAGGAGCTGAGGGGAGGGCTGTGCTGGCCACACCTTGATAGCTGGCTGGCACACAAGGTAGCTGCAAAAAGGAATTGGTCATTTGGTGCCATTTTGGCGTTGGTTTTGGCATCAGGTTTTTTATCAGGGTGTTTTTTAGTGTTGTTTTCATGTTTCTGCATTATGTTGTTATATTATTTTTGACTTTGATGTATTGTTTTTATTGTATATTTTGTAACTGAATTATTTAAATTTGTAAACTGCCCAGAGAGCCCAATGGGCTATGGGCTGACATTAAAAAATGTTATAGTAATAATAGAAACCAGACTAGCTCATTGGCTTAATCTTTCTGTGCAGGATGACAAGTTACAAGAAAGTTTACCCGCTCCGTGTGCCTTAAAAATGCAAATATGGGGTATTTGCAGGATAGAGACAAAGGGCTGGAGGGATGGAATCTTCTCTTAGTTGTCAATTCTTTCCTGAAAATTTCAGACCTAACCATACAGTCCTATTTTCCCTACAGACTGTGAAATGGGACAAGGAAAACATCTGAGGGTAGGATTTACAAACATGTGTTACTCAAACATTAATATTAACAAGACTGTGAAGATGGGGATTGAAGCACTTGCAATAGACAATTGGCAGGTAGGCACAGGAAGAACTGTTAGCTCCCTGAGCCCACCAACATAGTTCAATTTATCACATAGATGTAGTAGAAAGGTGTGTTTCTGCCTCTGAAAAAAATGGATTTGAATAGCTTTGGGAACTGGAAGTGAAATGAGCTATTATGTAAGGCACACTTATTTAAAAATCATGGAAATGATTCTCCAGTATTGTTGATCTTGTGGTCTGATTTGCACAGGTGTTTAAGTATTTAACCTCACCATCTTGAACTGATCAAACATTTTATTCACTACAAGGTGTAACTGCACTAGCTCAGTAGTGCTAGAGAATCAATTTTTCACCTTTGGATCTCATTTAGAATCATGTTTTCAAAATGTGCTAATCTGGTAAATCAAAACTGCTTTTTCCCTCTAAAGCATTTTGTGTTCAATAAAGTGCACCAAGATTTATAAAAATTAAGCAGTTATGAAGCCATGTTGCTAACAGCCTTTTGGTTTTCCCTTAATTGCTTTTTTAAATGCACTGCTGACAAACAGGTTTCAAATAGATTTCTTCCCTTTCTTGTTGGTTTATTGGATTTGCTCTACCCTCTCAAACCTGAAGCAACATAGAACAGGAAACATTTTTGTTTACTAACAACTTAAAAGTGGGCATGTTGTACTAAAGTGGAATTATTCCTGCTAATCACACATGTGTATTAAATGTGCATTAAATTAAGGAAGAGCACTTTCCCCCTCAATTATGCAAATTTTTGGTTGATTGTCACTAGGGCTGTATTTCTTAGTAATTGTGAAGGCTTATCATTACTCTGCCTTTAGCAGTAACTGTTCACAATACATTTAGCTGGTTCTTGCATAGCTTTTATATGACCAAAGCAAACAAAAGCTTCAAGTTCAAACTAATGACATAAATGTTCTCTTTGTTAAAATGTCTATATTCACAGAAACTTTCCAACCACAACAAGTAGCATAAATGTTCCAGTGATGTTTCCCAAGAATTAAAGGTCAAAAATAGTGTTTGAAAGTCTCAGTCAAATGCAAAGCTGACAATATATGACAAACCAGAAGAAAATACTTAATGAGCTCATTCTGTTTTAAGTCCAAATCATGCTTTGATTCTGTGTAAGAAAAACATTTGAGTTTCACTCAGGATGTTCTTCTATCTCCATTCCATGTCACCATTTCTATACTGATATCCACATTCCATAGTTTCCCTTCACGTCTGAGTGTGATAAAATAAGGCTTGAGAATACCAGCAATCTGGTTGTGGATAAATTCTGGTATGTAAAAACCACAGTTTGCTCCAATCAGATGCAGTAGCAAATTATGATTTGACAAGAAGCTAAAAGACAATTTAGAAAATCTGGACTTAAGGCTCAATGATGTTCATGCACACTAATGTCAAACTATTACATCTAGATTGTACCATCTATCTTTATAACAGAATGTTAACACTCTGTGACTAAGTCTGCTGTATAGTTTTCCTCCAAAGTTTACAATCAATTATTGTGTCCAGTTTAATTAATGTGCCTTGGATAATGTAAGGAATCTACTTATAGATGTCAGTCTGTACTCATCTTCAAAGCAAATATACAGAATGTAGTGGATCTGAACAGTTATTCTTGCAGCACGCTGATCACTTTCTTTATCATCCCCCAGTTTCAGAAAACAGATGAGAGAAGGAAAAAACTAAAGCTCAAACACCAGCAGTCAGCAAAACATAAAAGTGAAAGCACTGCCAAAAGCATTACTTATCTTTTTGTCAAGAAATCAGAGGTTAGTTCTGAGGGCAATTACCTCCTCTAGAGAACAGGCAGTAAAAGGAGGATGCAAGGTGAGCTACTGAGCAGTTATTTATTGCTTGATTCTTTTAGGAAGCTAACATCAGCTTTCCCTAGGAGAGATCACAGCTATCTCTCTAGTATCTTTGATTACTTTGAATCCTTTCAGGAAATACTAGAAATTATTTGGCAAAGTAATAACCAGCACAACTGATTAGTCTAATTTCTTAATCTAATTTCTTCTTTCTTAGCCTAATTTCTTATTTCTAAGCAAAACTACTGCTTTTCATTTTATTATTTAATGAAAACTGATCTTTCTTATGACATTTGTATCATTTACTTCACTGCTACACTGCCCAAAACTAGAAGCTCTTTATGCAGCTCACAATAGTACATAAAACAATACAATTTTTATTAAAAACGTTAGAATTTAAAAAGCTAAAACTGACATGTGGGAATAGAATGCTGGACTGGATGGTGTTTGGTGTGATCCAATATAGCTCCTCTTATATTTTTAAACTAAAAGTTTCTTCCAGAAAAACTTACTAGTTTTGCTTTAATTTCTTTACTAGCTCAGTTCTTACTTTATTATTATGGTCCAGATAATTTTATTCCAGGTAATGCTTTTGTTAAGAGAACCGCTTCGGCAAGGGGCGGCATAGAAATGTTTTAATAAATAAATAAATAAAAATAAACTACATTTTCCCAGATCTCTCAGCTATAACATTTTTTTGGTGAGACAATATGACTCCCTCACAACTCCGACTTACTCATTTATTGTGATAATTAGGGTTTTGATGAACTGTGGTTGCATGAAGGTCATAGCAAACTAGCTACTGTTGCTGCGTATACAACCATATTGACATTAACAGCCCTGTAAGATGGGCCAATATTATCCCTGTATTCTAGATGAGTGAGTGACCCTGAGAGACTTGTGACTCTTTATATCAAGGGTGGCCAAACCAAGGCTCACAAGCTGCATACAGCTCTTTGAGTTTATTCTGCAGCTTGTTGCTCACCCTCTGCTGCTGCTTCTCATGGGCACCTGCTTGTGGCTCTCAAAGATCTGAGATTTACCATATGTGGCTCTTTTGTTCAGCAAGTCTGGCCACGACTGCTTTATATAATGCATTTTTTCTTACTACCCAATGTGTCATCCAAGGAGAAAACACAGGGAGTACAAGATCAGTTCTCAGATAAATACTATGAAACCGAGTTCTCTGTGTTTCACTCCCCATTTCAGAAAGGAACTATATTTTCATTGTGTTTGATACAGCACCAAGTACAGTCATTATTCATTTATGAAGTATAATTAACAGAAACAAATGACAACATATGATGAAACACATCCTAAACTCTGTAGTCACAGGGTTCTTAAGGCAGAATCTAGATTTCTAGGGGATGATCCACTAGCAGCCCTTGTGGAGAACACAAGCTGTGACAAACAATATGAACAGAAAAATTATGTGTGAGATTTTAAATGT